TTCAATATTATAAAAATTTCAAAAATGCCTTCTGAAGAACGAAAAAATACCAAAAAGTCTCCTTTTATAGGTTCTCACTTAATCCAGACTCTACATACTTAATTTCATGTTTGTAAGTTCAATATTATAGAAATTGCAAAAAGTACCTTTTGTAGAACGAAAAAGTACTAAAAAGTCCCTTTTTATGTGTTCTCGACTAATCCGGGTTCTACATACTTAATTTCATCTTTCTAGGTACATTATTGTAGAAAATTCAAAAAGTCCCCTTTTACATTCTACATTTCATGTTTTTAGGTTCAATATTATAAAAAAATCAATAAGTACCTTTTATATAAGTACCAAAAAGTACCCTTTTATAGGTTCTCACATCATCCAGGATCTACATGCAATTTTATGTTTCTGGATTCAATATTATAAAAATTTCAAAAGTGCCTTTTGAAGAACGAAAAAGTACCAAAAAGTCTCCTTTTATAGGTTCTCACTTAATCCAGACTCTACATACTTAATTTCATGTTTCTAGGTTCAATATTATAGAAATTTCAAAAAGTACCTTTTGTAGATCGAAAGAGTACCAAAAAGTCCCATTTTATGTGCTCTCGCCTAATCTAGGCTCTACATGATTAATTTCATGCTTCTAGGTTGAATATTATAAAAATTTAAAAGTACCTTTTGAAGAACGAAAAAGTACCAAAAAGTCCTCTTTTATGGGTTCTCACTTAATCCAGACTCTACATACTTAATTCATTGTTTCAAGGTTCCATATTATAGAAAATTCAAAAAATACCTTTTGTAGAACGAAAAAGTACCAAAAACGTCTCCTTTTATAGGTTCAATATTATAGAAAATTCAAAAAGTACCTTTTGTAGAACGAAAAAGTACTAAAAAGTCCCCTTTTTATGGTTCTTACCTAGTCAAGGCCCCACATGCTAAATTTCATGTTGCTAGGTTCAATATTATAGAAAATTCAAAAAGTACCTTTTTGTAGAACGAAAAAGTACTAAAAAAAAGTACGAAAAAGTATTATGCGTTTGTGCTGATGTTTGTAACACCCAAAAATATTGGTCATACACCCACCTTTAAGTATACCAATCGGCTCAGAATCACTTCCTGAGTCGATTAAGCTATGTCCGTCTGTCCGTCCGTCCGTCTGTCTGTGTGTCCATGTAAACTTTGTGCGCACTCTACAGGTCGCAATTTTTGAGATAATTTGCGCTAAACTATAAGCCTATAGAAATTCACTTCATTGAAAACTAAAAGTGGAATTGAATGTATTTACGTTTTGGCTATGAGGTATTTTAATATTGTAGTATATCAATTTTTAATTTTTTTTTTAATTTAATTTATTACTTTTATTTAAATCATAATTTTAAGTATGAAAAAAATAATTTTTATGTAAACTATTCATAAGTAGAAATTTATAACCGATTATGGCCTATATAGGCTAGGTTATTGAAATAAAGAATTTGAAATTGAAATTGAAAAAAAAATTTGGAACATGCACTTCTCTTGGTCTAAGGACAAACGCTATTGAAAATGGTTGAAATTGGTCCATTATTTCACCTAGCCCCCATACAACCGAACCCCCCGAATAGGGCTTTTGACCTCATAATTATGTTAAATGATCTACTATCTCTACAAAAATTGGAAAAATTTAGTTTTATATATGTCTTAATAATTCTAGTGATTTTCGTAAAGATCGGACATTATTTGACCCTAGCCCCCATACAAAGTTCCTCTCAGAAAATGACTTGAATGTCCACAACTCACGTATAAACACTAGTATCACTATGGAATTTGGTAAAAATACGTTTTGTGTACACATAATTCCCAACAATAAATTTTATAGTGATCGGCCCAAGTTTTGCCCTAGCCCCCATATAACCGGACCTTCCGATTTGGGCCTTTTAGCTCATAACTTTGTCAAATATACTACTATCTCTCCAAAAATCGGCACAACTAAGTTTGTTATAATTATAAATAACACTGTTGATTTTTATAATGATCGGGCATTATTTGACCCTATCCCCCATACAAAATCCACTTCAGAAAATGACTTGAATGTCCACAGTTCATTTATAAACACTAGTATCACGATGAAATTTGGCACAAATAGATTTTATATAAACATAAATGTCGACATTAAATTTTAAAAGGATCGGACCAATTTTTGCCCTAGCCGCCGTACAACCGGACCTACCGATTTGGGACTTTTAGCTCAGAACTACGACAAATAAACTATTATCTTCCCAAAAATTGGCACAACTAAGTTTGGTATAATCATAAATAACACTGTCATTTTTCGCCATGATCGGAAATAAAAAGTAGCCTATTGCCAGATATACAGGAATACGCTGTGAAAATTTGAAGAAATCATATCAACACACAAACATATAAGCATACAAAGATACAAACAAACACACATTCATTTTTATATATAATAATACATTTTATAAGGATCGGCTTAATTTCTGCCCTAGCCCCCATACATCCGGACCCTCCGATTACGGCCTTTTATCTTTTAACTACGTCTAATATACTACTATATATCCAAAAGTCGGCACAATGTGGTGATGTTTGTAACACTCAAAAATATTTGTCCATAGCTATGTCCGTCATTGTGACCGTTTAAACCTTGTGTGCCCGCAACGGATCACAATTTTGAATATAATTTGTTAAAATTTGTCACATACTATTCTCAGGATCCAATGACGAAGGCTGTGAAAATGATTGAAATTGGTGTTTTATTTCTCCTAGCCAGCATACATATGCTTCATTATTGAAATTAATCACATTTAATATTCGCAATTGGTGTAGGGTATCATATGGTCGGCCACGCCCGACTGTAATTTCTTACTTGTTACTCATATCTTCGTTATTTATGGGCCGATTGGGCTGATTTTAAATAGCGTTCTATTCGATCGTATTTCCGATAGAATTTTTAAAATTTGGATCTCGCAGATATCTGGGGTCTTCTGAAAACTGATTTCAACATACACACAGACTATCTCTCTACCCCCCGGGCATGTTTCCTTGATGATAGATCCCATCTTGGTGTATTGCAATCCGAGGATATAGAGGTGCTACCAGTACCTCTAGTCTGCCCGGACTATAAACTGGTGATGTCACTTCACTCCTCGACTTGTCCTTGGTATGATTTGGGGTCTAACCAAAGAACCACATAATCTGGTACTACGAGTGGCCAGTTGCCCGCAGGACTATGTCCTGGCTTGTCAGTTGGAATACACGTAGTGGCTGTGGTTTAAACCCAAATTCGCGGGAAGAGTAAGTGGCGGTTTTTCTGGATAAGTTCGGTGCTGTTGCCAAATGACAACAGATACCCCACAGAGGAATGACTATGGGACTAAGCGTTGGAAATGAGTTGGTGTAAATTATATATAATACGGGATGAATGTATAGGTATGCGGGCTTCACTCCACCCGTAAACCTAAATGACTGTGTCGTATGTTTTTTTCTTATGAATGTGTCGGATAAATGAGAAGTGCGCTTGGTTGAATGATGATGGATGAAAGGTATCACAAGTGATACCATTAAATTTTTCTTCCTTGTCCAGGTATGTTCAGAGTAAACTCTATTCATATCACAATTACCACAGTTTGTCACTGTGAGTAAGATCAAAGTCTCGGCTTATTTGATGGATTCGTACTTCGGTCTTCTGGTTACGTCTCTAGGTGCTGTTGCCGAATCAACAGAGTCCATCCCATCTGCGTGGTTGTAAACGGAAGTGATGTTTTACATCTCAGAAGTTAAGCAACGGGGCAGCAATGGTCAGAGATTAGATAGCTCGAACATTTGAGCAATGCGCTTGTACATGGACAGGCTTTAGCCATGTACAGAAATTGCCACCTGATTCTTTCACTGAAGATTGAAGGGGCGGTGGTGAGTCGTCACAAAGCTCACCCAGTGGTTGAAAAAGACCACCGTGAGATAGGCCAACACGGCAGGTACTCACGTAAAGCACTTCGACTTCAATACACACAGACAGACAGACGGACATGGCTAAATCGACTCCGCTATCTATAAGGATCCATAATATATATAGGGTCGGGAAATTATTATAGAAATTACAAACGGAATGACAAACTTATATAAACCCTTCTCACGAAGGTGAAGGGTATACAAATGTAAAGAGTAACAAACTTTGACAGCTACGTAAACCAGGCGGATTAAAAAATTATCAGATGAATAACACCACCTTATGGGAATTCGCCTTGGGCGGTTGGTTTCATTGCGATATGTGTTTTGTTTTTTTGTGTATTTTGTCTCGTACGTTTGGTTTCATTGTGTTGTGTATTTTGTATTTGTTTTTTGTGTATTTTGTTTCTTATGTTTGGATGCCTGTTGGTTTCATTGAGTTGTGTATTTTGTTTTTTTTTTGTGTTTTATTTCGTTTAGCGTTTTTGTTGTTTCTTTTTTTGCTATTGCTTAAGTAATGATAGAGTCGGGAAAATGAAATAAATTGAAATTTTATAAAATTAATATTTTTGAATACACTATAAGATTCGGCAAAATCGAATATAGACTTCATACTTGTACTTTTAATTTATTTCATTTACAAAATTATAAAACTCGCGATTAATTCGTTTTGACTCGAGCGAGCAAGTTCAATTTTACGCTCTATAAATTTCCAACTCTTATCGCGAGCTAAATTTTTAAATTCGCGAGTCAAAAAGATTGATTAGAGGTAAAATTAAACATTTAAATCGCTCGATCTGTACCCTGGCTGAGAGACCTCTTAATGGAAATCTAAAATATTTTATTTACTGACCCGATTCGAAAAATTATATCTCAACTGAAAGTAGCAAATGTCCAAAATATTCCATTTAATTCTTATTAAGGAATTGATACAATTTTATTTGTATAAACAAAAAAGTTAAATACTTACCAAATATTATCCTAAAATAATATACATACAAAACTATAAATACGTCTGTCTTTTTTATATAACTTTAAAAACTTCATATATATATAACTAAGTCGTGTAGTGTTTTCTTTGTTTTTTTATTTTGTTTTTACAAGAGCAACGACTTAAGTTTAACATTTACATATATTGAAAATCTCTTAGAGATATAATATATATATGTGATAGCATTTTGTTTAAATCCAGTTTTTAGTTCCTTTTGTGTTTTTCGTAATTTTTACTTATAAATTTGTCTGTTTTGTTTACAAATTGATTCGACTTGTTCAGTATAAATTATATAATTAACATAATGTTTTTTTATCGGTTACTAGCAAATTTTTCGAATATCGATGTTGTACAATATTAACCAATAAAAAAAATTTGTGTTTTAAAACATACAACAAATTTAACACTTTCTGTAATATTTCATCGTTATGCATATAATGTAATATATAGTAGGCCTTAGAAAGTTACGTTTAAATATTTATAATATATAATTCATTTCATACAATCTTTCACTTTTACAAATACAATAAAAAAATATAACATAAAATTAAAAATTTATAGTATTTTTATTACATTTTTCATTCCCATACTTCAATACAAAAAGTTTTGACCTTCTTTATATAAAAAACTTTAATATTAAGTTTTTAACTTATTATTCGCTTATAAAATTATTGATAGATGTTATTTTCTCTTAATAGTTGCACAGCACAATCTCCAAAATATATTGTATGCATATGGTGATGAATAATTTAGTTATCGTCGCTTGTTTCACCGTTTATAACTTGATTGAAAAATGGATTAAGAGCTTTTACGGCCACACCTAGAATGAACCATAAAATAAATGTTAATTATAAAAGCTGTTTTTATAGGTAGTTATAATTAGAGTTAAAATATTAATAAAAATCCAGTTTTTCTTTTTAAATCATAGATATGCAACACAATTAAAGCTGTCATTTCGAAAAGGACTCGAGTCACAGAATTGTTTTTATAACACCAACAATTTGATTTCAAAATATGTGTATGATAATTTTATTGTTTTCAATGAAAATAAATATTAAAAAATTACTTGAGTTTTTGTTTATAAACTTTTATGTTAAACTTTTTTAGGGCCATACAATTTCATTTATACGAAACGTTTTTTGTTCTTCCTGAAAAGTTTGCATAGAACGACTTTTGCCCTTTTCGAAAGGACTGCTTCAATTGTACCGTGCTGTTATAGAATATGTTTACATATTGTGCTGTAGATGAATCACTTTAAATGAATAAACAAAAAATAAATATATGTAAATATGATTTTATTATTACTGCAAATATCTTCTATTTTAAGCAATTTATATTTATAATTCCTTTCCGATTGAAAGTGATTAAATCTTAAAAAAAAATAATTAAAAATTAATTTAAATTATTTTTAACTGTCTTATCTATACCCGAGAAAATTTACGTTGCTCAATACAACCAACATACCCGGGTATGTCATGCATTTGATATGGCTATTTCATTTTTTTACGTTTCTAATGTATCATTAGATATAATGTAATAAAACATACAAATAAATTAAATATTCTTGAACACGCAAATTTAATGCAGAATAGGGATGTATATAGGGCGGACCTTGTAATTTTTTTTAGAGATTTCTTGGGTTGCTCTTTTATGAATTTTGTTGAAATCCGTTTGTTATTATTATTTTATAAGGAAGTAATAACTAATTGCCCTGAATATGTTAGAGATACTTCCCAACAAAAAAAGTGTAGTAACCCGAAGTGCTTCAAATTCGGGTGAAAACCCTATGAATTTTACATTACCGTCTCATTGGAGGGATGTTGTCCATTTTTGACAACTTTGAACTACGCCTAATTTTATTTTTAGAAGCAGTAAAATTCCGACATTTGGATGTCAAAAATAAACCACATTCTTTCAATGATACGCTTATCTTTCCTCACTTTTAACTGGGTTTTTATTTGTAAGGAAATATTTGGTTTATAAAAGCGAAAAATATGTAATCGCATTTTTAGATGTGATTAAGATGTCGTTTGTAAAGTATGATATCAATTATTTTTTGCTGGGTTTTGAATTTTTCCATTCTGATAGAAATTCATAAATTTGAATTCCTATAATAAATCGAATTGGAAATCTCTTCCTCGAATTCTTATATGTTTTGATTTACGATTTACAACATTTATGATGGAGCTTTTAGAATATGCATCCACTAATGTAATTTAATATAATTATTACATTTTTCTTAAAGATTGTAATGAATTTGTAAAATTATACAGCACTAAATAGATATTATCATATATGATGTTATTTACACTTACATATGTATGTATGTATATGCATTTCTTTTTTGTAGTCACCCTCTTATGTATTAATGAAATTATGTGCAATATCCTATGTTTAAGTTAGAATTGATATAACTACATTTTTTGTAATACTTTTTATAACAACGTAAGAATCTTATAAAGTTCCACTTTATTGCAACTTTGTTGGAAGATTCTAACGAGTAAACCCCTAACGATGCATATTGTTTGCCACCAAATTTATGCTTGTTTCGTTTTGACAATATAAATCACTTTTGATTTGTCTATGACACAAGCACTACGTGCATATAACATTTAAAAAACCATCTACTTCTACGAGGTAATATTTAGGTTTAAATAAAAAGAGATCTTCGTCTCTAATAAATTTGAAATATACTTTTGTTTTATTTTTATATAAAATCTTGAGAATCTTGTTGGAGCAGAACAGCCTATGTAAACATATAAATTTGCTGGTCTACCAACTATATATGAACCTATAAGCTCGGTTGGTTTTTGAAATAAATAAAAAATTAAATACAAAAACTTCTATATTATTTATTAATATATGGACAATATAAATAATGGACAAACAGATTTTTTTAAGTTGGGCCACATATCACGGACTTGCCCGTAATTAATAACACAGTAAGACAAAATAAACGAAAATTGAAATACCTGGGAAGTGATACTATTTTTCTGAAAGGTGGATCCGAGTAGAACAAGAATATGTTTTTGAAATTTGCCAAACACCTTCAAAATCTTTAGTTACGGGTAAAACCCGGTTTTTCGTACCTTTTATTTTTTTTTTTTTTTTTTTTCATTTATTGTAATGTTTTAAAGCCACATTTGGTCAATAATATTAATAATAATAGTAAATATTAATAATTAATTAATAATTAATACATATTAATAATAATAGTAAATATTACAGAGTTTAACGAGTTATTTACAATTACAAGTAAAAACTATAAACTATGGCCCCCCAGTCAAAAAAGTAGTATATAAGATATTTGAATATGTAAAACTCACAAAAACTGGTATGGTCCATGTTAACGATAATTCCGTTAAAGTAAATTCAAAAGGAATGTGATATTTGTTCAGTTTACATACGATGATGTAACAACATACGATGATGTAACAATATAACATACGTTATACTGTTACATCATTGTAAATTAAATATTGTTAAAAAAAAATAATAAATGAAAAAATACAACAAAAAATATAACAGCAGTTATGTAAGAGGCACCTTTAAGCACTTATAAGTCAGCAACTTAGTTAAATCTGAACCGATTTTAAGTTTCTCACGGATTTAAAAGGCAGAATCTGAGGCCTTTATAATGACATATGTGAGAATTTCATCAGCAAACATATTTTTTATTTAAGTTTTGCACCGTTGTCCATGTTTGGAGATGTTTTTTGAAAGTATTTTATATAGGAATCGTACTATTTATTAATTGATTAGAAACCCATGTCTATTCATAAGAAAAACGCAACTTTGTTTTTAAAAATCCGTTAGCAATTGACGACGTTATTGATCTTTTTCTTAATACAAAACTTTTCCTAAACTGATTTTCCAAAAGATGCTTTATATGAGGGATAGGGCTAAATATCGGCCGATCCTCATACAATTTGGTGGGAATATTTAGATTTATATAAAAGTTATTTGTGCTGAATTTCATCGTGATATTGATGTAATTAATAGAATTATGGAATTCAAGTCATTTTCTGAAGGAGGATTTGCAAATAAGGTCCAAACAATATAAAAATGGATATAAATGAGTTTGCTGTAATCTTTACTGATACTGCTGTCCCCATACAAACTCTCCTTCAGAAAATGACTTGAATTCCATAATTCTCCTCTTAATAATAATATCACGATGAAATTCAGCATAAATAACTTTATTTATTTATTCGTTACTGTAATATAAAAGCCTCATTAGGCCAATTAAACTATATTACAAAGAAAGAAAATGCCTAAATATCAATTAAACAAAAATTGCTTAAACCTAAAAAAAATCTCAAATAATTACAAGCCCTGGTTCCCAAGCGAAAAAGGTAAGTGATAAAGCAAAAGTTAAAGAACTCGATCCCAATGAATTACATAATAGAACATATCACAAAGAAAGGAAAGTGTAGATATACAAACTGTCAACACTAATGGCAAGAAGAATTGGTAACAGTTTCAGGCGGAAGGCATTATTGGAATGGAAAACAGGCGCAGTTCAAGTGGCAAATAGTTCCAACACCGGGCAATTCTCACTAAAAACAACTTTTCAAAGAAAGAACTATTAATTCTAGGTACAATAATCTGGGGATTCCTAGTAGAATGCGAAAAAATAAACTTGAAGCAAAGTTGAGAAGGATATCCCCTTTTAATAGTCCTATAGAAAAAAGCAAATTACGAAAGAGAATAAATTCAGTAAAAGAGCATCCAAGAAAACGTTCAGCAAATCTAGATACGTGGTCACGTCTACCAACACCGTATACATACTGTATAATCATATTAAAGATGCGCTTTAGTCTGGATGCAACATAATCAAAAGATCCAGAAATAATACCATATAAAATATGAGGCATCAATAAAGCATGTGCCAAAAGCATCCTAATATGATGAGGTAAATATAGATTCGTTGAATAAAATTGACGAAGTATAGCAGAAATCTTACGGCCAATACGATCAATATGGCCCTCAAAATTTAATTTCACATCCAAAAGAGATCCCAACAACAAACCCAAAAGAAATCCCATACATTCCAATCGATCAACAAACTCTACAGCATCACCTCCCACAAAATTAGTAGGGTTAATCAAATATCTTTTAATAAAGCCAAATATTATAGCCTTAGTTTTCGAAGTATTAATCCGCAGATGATTGTCGGATGACCAAAATGAGAAGCGAAGAAGAACATCTTTGATAAGCGATTGAAAATTAACACCATTAAATCTCTCACAGTTTAATAAAAGCAGATGTTAGACGAAGTGATTCAGAGCAAACATTCGCAACTTCAACAAACTGAAATCGATCTGTTAGATATGAGAAAATTAACCTACACGCCGTACTTGAAAAATTTTATATTTCTCTCAATTTTCTTATCAAAACAGAGAAATTCACAGAATTAAATGCCTTAGTCTTTAATATAAACTTTAATATAAACATAAATCCTTACACCAAATTTTTCGAGGATCGGCCCATATTTAACCCTATCCCCCATATAAAGCATCCTACAGAAAATCAGTTTATAAACAATTTTGTATTAAGAAAAAGATCAATAACGACGTCAAATTCTAACGCATTCTTAAAACAAAGTTGCGTTTTTCGAGAATCGGCCGATATTTAACCTTATCCCTCATACGAAGCATCTTTCAGAAAATCAGTTTTTGAACAATTTTATATTAAGAAAAAAATCAATAACGTCGTTAATTGCTAAAGGATTTTAAAAAGAAAAGTTGCATTTTACTCAAAAACAGACTTAGTTTTCTAATGCATTAATAAATAGTACGGTTCGTATATAAAATACTTTGTAAAAACATCTCCAAACTTGGAAAACTGTGCAAAACCAAAAGCAAATATATGTTTACCGATGAAATGTACGCATAATTCTACAGAATATCTAAACATCATATATGTCATTATAAAGGCCTCAGCCTCTGCATTCTATCCGTTGAGAAACTTAAAATCGGTTGAGATTCAACTAAGTTTCTGACTTATAAGTGTTTGAAGGTACGAAAAACCGGATTTTTACCCGAATCTCAAGATTTTGGAGGTGTTTGGCAAATTTCAAAAGCACACTCTTGTTCTACTCGGATCCACCTTTCAGAAAAATAGGTATTTATTTTTGTCGCATAGTGTAATATAGAAGTTTTTGTAATTTATTTTTCTTTATCTGTCTAAGAGTAATAGGTTCTTGAACTCAAAATCGATTAACATTTAAAATGTGTTTGATTTCATTAGTAGGAACTTTATTTCTAAAAAAATTGTAAAATCATGGTCAAAAAAGAAAATTTTAATATTCAAACTTTAATAGTTTTTTTTATATCAGAACAAAATTATCAGAGTAAGCATAATTTTGAACGTAAATTGAACATTAATTTACAGGTTTTTAAATGTAGTAGAGTATGATTACTAGGGAAATTAATATTTACCTTTTCCTGCAGACTGATCCTTCGAATCACGCCACGCTATAAAGGATTCCTGGGGTATAACATCTGCATCATTTAGTTCACCAAAAATAGCTCCCAATAAACCTATAAATAAAAAAAATATATACATAGCATTTTATTTTACTTTTTTAATAGAAGTATATAAAATATCAATATATTAATTAAAGCTCGCGTATTAGCGTCAAAGTTTGAAATTGCGGCCCACCCTAATGTAGATATTTTATATAAAACGCAGTTAACTTGACAGTAACTTTATTTACCTCTTGGATGTTCTAGACTATGAACCAACAATTGTATGGCGTATAGGCATTCCAGTTCCAAATCTTCTTTAGAGTCTAAGTAACGCAGCAGTACAGGTATGCAAATTTTTTGGAAGCACGATAAATCTAAACTATAATTATTGGAATCCTTTATAGCAAAGCTTGTTAATGTTGTCGTTAAACTTTTAATGAAAGTTTTATCCACATCTACAATATTTCCCTGAAAAAAATATAATACAACAATTTTTAATTATTTTGTCAAAATGTTAAAATACATTGAACATTCAAATTGAACATTCATTCAAAATTTAACTCAGGGATGACTAACCCGAAATAACCAATGTCTAACTTTAAAAAATTCGTACAATGTACTAAAGTTGTTGTATGGTTTATTATCAGTTTTGATGTGTAAAATTGGAAAATATATACTAGCAGATAACATAACATATTTTTTTTCCAGGTTTTTGAATAACAAATTTTAAAAATTTAAATTCTGCATAACTGATTCCTTTTCTTATAATACTCCATACGCAAAAATGTAAAATATTGTTTTGTTACGAAGTAATATTAAATTTTTCACCCCTGAGTTTTTTTATTTAATCCTAACGTGTATACATACATTGATGTAATCAATGACATTATCAGCATTGGAGCCCTCTTTTAACAACTGGTCTACATGCTCTACAACGCGTTTATTACGCTTTTCTTTAGGTTCTTTATTATCGATGTCTGGTTGGCATTTTTCATTTTCAACATATTCAAATTTCTAAAAATAAACAGATAATACACAACTAATTATTATAACAAAAAATATTATTTAATTTGTATACATATATACTTATATTGTGTACTTATAATTTATATTTGATACGTGTAAAATATATAAATTACTTACATTTGTTTGAATAAACTTGCTAACTTCATTCTCATTCATAAAATCTGTCCACTTTATCTGATTTTTCTTCCACATGTTTCGTGTAAAACTAGGACCGACTTCTCGTGTGCAATATTGTATAAATGTTTTAAGGAATCTGGTGCTAAAACTAGAAGATCCGCTTTCACGTAACTGTGAGCTCCATAAATCATTTACAGTTATTAGTTTCTTAACAATTAAGGGTCCTTGTAAAAATAGATGTAAATATATAAGATTGTGATTATTTTAAATAAATTTCATACAAATTCTTACCGGTAAATTCGAAAATGTACAACCATAGATCGGGTATATCGACCATTAAATCGCTAGCAAATTCGGAAAATTGTTTATAGGCTAAGCGGAAATGTTCGACGGAAATGTATTTATTTTCAATTAAATATGCTACAACATTTGCCAGATGTCGCCTGCACATTGGTCTAACCTCTGCCAAATGCAAATAATCCGTAAGTATATAATATAGTAAACCACATCGCTGATTTTCCTTTATTTTCTTAATGCAGGATACAGTCGTGCTGTCTATTGATTTAGAATTGGCAGCGTTTTCAACCATCTCAATGACAACAGCCTTAATTAATTTCAAATCTGCTTCAGTTGGCTCTTCAAAAACTGCTGGAGGTGCAGATGATGGCTGAGTTGATTCACTTGCTGCAGGATTGAAATGTTGTTGTTGATGCGTAGCATTGGAACCATAGTAAGAAGATTGCTGTTGGTTATCACGGTATATACTAGAACCTGATGTTCCTCCGCCGGGCATTTTCGTTGAAGTCATTCTAGACGAAGAGGAAGTGGACATGGGTTGTTGATATTTCGAATGACTAGCAGATTTTTGCATATTTGACGAATTACTACCCATTCCACGAACTCCCTGGGCACTACGAGATGAAGAATTTTCTCGCGAGGCTTGTGTTGAATTATTCCGTGATAATAATCCTAAGTTTTAAAAATGTATTTGTTAATATTAAAATTTTATTTACTTTGACATGTATTCTTTTCTTACTACCATGATCATAACGATCACGCTCCATGGAACCCTTGTTGTATGAACCTTTATTACGTGGTCCACTTCGTTCTCTATCACGGTCGGAACTTCTGTTTGAATCCATCGACAATGCTGCAAAGGAATTTGATGGTGTTGTTGTTGGTTGCGATGATGTTTTAGGCCACAGGAATAATGAAAGACCACCCATTTTCTTATTGTTCATATCAACAGTAGTCTATTTAAATTTGTAGAAAATGTATAACAAATATTATAAACTATTTTATGACATATATAGTTACAACCTTATTCATAACTAAAAATTGGCAGCAGTTCATACATCACATACAACGAGCTGCTTACTAGAGTGTTATTTAAGCTTAGAAGCATGAAGTTTATTCATAATAAGTTTTAAACTGCAATTGTGATTTCATTGAATAATTTATTTTATGTAAACTTAATTGGAATATGCTGGAAACTCTATAATTACAGTGCGTGTCACTCAAAAACACTCATTACGTGCTCATTAATGCTTTTTATTGACCTAGATGAGTAGATCATTTTACAATTTTTAGAATCTTCAATAAACCCTAAAAATTGGAAGATATTGTGAAAAAAAGGCTTTTTTGACTAAAAAAATATATCTCAAAATTTTCTCAACCAATTTAATATTTTTCAACTGTTTTGGAAAGAGTTTCCTTTGTACTTGTCAAAAAGTACACACACCTTTATATTTCTTAAGGAAATGTGTAAAATATTTAGATCTAAATACAAATTTTTATATATTTTTATAATTTTTGTTACAATTCACGATAATTTTTGACATACACTTTATTTGAAAACATATTTTTTAAATATACAATGCAATTGATTTTATTATTAATAATTTATTTTTTATTTTTTAATTCTTATTTATTATATTTTTTATATTATATTATATATACTAGCTATACCCAGTGTGCTTTGCTACCCTAAAAGGAATATGTATAAATAAATACCAGATTTATTATATGTTACATATAAAAGATGTCAAGCAAATTATTGCAAGTTCGCCAGTTTCTATTTATCGCCAATTTCTATCTATCTACAAAAAATTTGAATAATATAAGAGTTTCCATTCTAAATGTTCAGGTGAATGTCAAAGTTCTTCAAGTAAAATTTAATGATTCTAGCTCTAATTGTTTCTCAGATATACGAATTTTTCTATTTTATTCATATGGGGGCTCCAAGCCCCCCAGGTGAAAGTCCGCTCTTTTTTCCTTAAAAATGTTCAGATGAATATTAAAGTTCTTCGTGCAAAATTTTAAGAATTTAGTTCTATTAGTTTCCCAGATAAACGAATTTTTGTTTTTAATTAATATGGGAGGTGCCGCTCCCCTCATGGGTAGTCCGCCAATTTTTTACCCAAAATGTTTATATGGATGTTAAAGTTCTTTGTGCAAAATTTTAAGAATTTAGTTCTATTAGTTTCCCAGATAAACGAATTTTTGTATTTAATTAATATGGGAGGTGCCGCTCCCCTCATGGGTAGTCCGCCAATTTATTACCCAAAATGTTTATATGGATGTTAAAGTTCTTCGTGCTAAATTTTAAGAATTTAGTTCTATTAGTTTCCCAGATAAACGAATTTTTGTATTTAATTTATATGGGAGGTACCACGCCCCCTAATGCTAGTCCGCCTACTTTTTGTCCTAAATGATCATATTGACACTAAAGTGGCTCCGACAAAATTTGAGGACTCTAACTGTTATATTATCTAAAATATACGGATTTTATATTTTCTTAATGTGGGCGTGGCTCATCGCCCACTTGAAATTTCGAAATAAAAAGTAGCCTATTACCTATTCCAGACATGCAGGAATATGCTGTGAAAATTTCAAGAAAATCGGTTCAGCCGTTTAGTAGTCTATAACGTTCAAACATACAAACATACAAACAAACACACATTCATTTTTATATATATAGATTATATTTATATTATTATTATATTATATTTTTTAAGTAAAATTTTTTTAAGTAGAAATTTGTAACCGATTATGGCCAATAGGCTAGGTTTATTTTGGAAATAAATTAAATTAAAAATATTTTTTTATTTTAGCCCATATTTTTATACCCTTCACCTTCGTGAGAAGGGTATATATAAGTTTGTCATTCCGTTTGTAATTTACAAAATATAATTTTCCGACCCTATAAAGTATATATATTCTGAATCCTTATAGATAGCGGAGTCGATTAAGCCATGTCCGTCTGTCTGTCTGTCCGTCTGTCTGTCTGTCTGTCCGTCTGTTGAAATCAGTTTTCTGAAGACCCCAGATATCTTCGGGATCCAAATCTTCAATAATTCTATCAGACATGCTTTCGAGAAGTTTCCTATTTAAAATCAGCAAAATCCTTCCATAAACATCGGAGATATAAGCAAAAATCCGAGACAACCTCTGAAAATTTCATAAAAAATAAGCAACAACAACACTGCTTATTCATTGCGTTGTGTATTTTGTTTTTTCGATTATTTCGTTTCGTATGTTTGGATGGCTGTGTGTTTCATTGCCATGTGTATGTTGTTTTTGTTTCTTGGTGTATTCAGTTTTGTAGGTTTGGATGGCTGTGTGTTTCATTGTCCCTGCAAACAATTGCTATCTAAATAGTATCCATAACGTAACAACGTGTAGGTAAAAATATCTAAAAAACATCTAATACTGCACAATTTGAAAGGAAGAAAAGTGACCGCGTTGGTAAGAAACTGTTCCTCCTGTTTAATACTTACTTATTGAGTCGATTTCGTTTCAGTTTTAAGTCACTTTTTTATAGCATAAAAGTGCGTAAAATTAGTAAAATTTCCAGTTTTGCCATAGCAATAGGGAAACTGGAAATTTATCTAATTTTACACTATTTTATGTAGTAAAAGCGACTTTATAATACATTTTCTTTATTTCTATTACTTTATGAATAATTTAAAATTGTTTATACTCACTAATCTCTCACTTATTTTTATTATATATTAAATTTATTTTTTATATATTAAATTTTAAATAAAATCAATACAAAATTTCACAATGTGTTACTATTCACACAACTGATCACTATAAACTTAATATATTTACTGAAATATAAAAACAGTTTTTCTTTTAAATTTTGAGAGCAAAAATAATTCTGCCTTAAATTATCTTGTTAGTGTATTAAAAAGTGTTCTTTTCATACATTTTTATTCTATCTAATTATTATCATCTACGTTTCTTTTTGGTATATTAGATCGAACTTAAATTTTGCAAAAATGGGATAAAAATTAGAAAATTATGTATTTTGTTTTTGTAAATATTTTTATTTAGCACTGAGAAACATGGAGTTGAGCCTAAATAGTGTAAATTTAGTTCATTTATCCAAAATTAAACTCAAATTTGCTGGCAGAGGTCTTGTGTATATTGTTTTTGTTTCTTGGTGTTGGTTTCGTTTGTTTGGATGTCTACCCTTCCAGCAAATTTGAGTTTAATTTTGGATAACTGAACTAAATTTACACTATTTAGGCTCAACTTCATGTTTCTCAGTGCTAAATAAAAATATTTACAAAAACTAAATACATTATTTTCTAATTTTTATCCCATTTTTGTAAAATTTAAGTTCGATTTAATATACCAAAAAGAAACGTAAATGATAATAATTAGATAGAATAAAAATGTATAAAAATAACACTTTTTAATACACTAACAAGATAATAAAAGACAGAATTATTTTTTCTCTCAAAATTTAAAAGGAAAAGTGTTTGTATATTTCAGTAAATATATTAAGTTCATAGTGATCAGTTGTATAAATAGTAACACATTGTGAAATTTTGTAATGATTTTATTTAAAGTTTAATATATAAAAAAAATTTAATATATAATAAACATAAGTGAGAGATTAGTGAGAATTTTAAATTATTCGTAAAGTAAGAGAAATAAAGAAAATGTATTATAAAGTCGCTTTTACTACATAAAATTGTGTAAAATTAGATAAATTTCCAGTTTCCCTATTGTTATGGCAAAACTGGAAATTTTACTAATTTTACGCACTTTTATGCTATAAAATAGTGACTTAAAACTGAAACGAAATCGACTCACTAAGTAAGTATTAAACAGGAGGAACAGTTTCTTACCAACGCGGTCACTTTTCTTCCTTTCAAATTGTGCAATATTAGATGTTTTTTAGATATTTTTACCTACACGTTGTTACGTTATGGATACTATTTAGATAGCAATTGTTTGCAGGGTATTGATTGAAACAAAATACATAACGCAATGAGTGTATTTTGTTTTTGTGTGTATGTATTTCGTATCGTATGGTTGGATGTCTGCTGGTTTGACTGCCTTTTGTATTTTGTTTTTTGTGTGTTTATTTCGTTTAGCGTTGTTGTTCATTATGTTTTGCTATTGCTATGATAATGATATAGTCGAGAAAATGAAAAAAATTAAAATTTTATAAAATTTATATTTTTAAATACACTATGGTGAAGGGTATATAAGATTCGGCACAGCCGAATATAGCTCTTTTACTTGTTATGAATAAAAGAACATATGATACTTTGAAATCTGATAAAAACTGACAAAAATACAGAATTTTTTCGTAAAATAAAAAATTTACTAAATCTCTCATTTCCAAAGTAAATTATCAATTTGAATAATAAAGCTTATATTTGTGTGCATATCTTACGTTGATATTTTACTGCAGCAAAGAGAGTTATGGTACATTTTTGTTTTTACGAAAAAATTCTTTTTCTGTCAGTTTTTATCCGATTTAAACGTTTCATATCTTATTTTATGCATAAAAATATGGGCTAAAATAAAAAATATTAAAAAAATAAAAGTGTGTGTACTTTTTGAAAAGTACAAATGAAACTCTTTCCAAAACAGTTGAAAAATATTAAAAAGGTTGAGAAAATTTTGAGATATATTTTTTTTAATCTGTCTAGTCAAAAAAAAAAAAAATCGTTCTTTTCCAATATCTTCCGATTTTTAGGGTATTTTGAAGAATCTAAAAATGGTACTGTAATCTACTCTACTAGACCTACCAATTTACTAGGTCTCGCGATGACTGTATTGTTTTTTTGTAATTTTGTCACACCGTGTTATTAATACTTTTCACATTTGTTTGTTACTCTTTTCTTCGTTATAATTTGTATCAACTACCCAGCAAAAAAATTTTGCAGTAGTGCAACGTGAATGTAATTATCATGACTTTTTTAATAACAGTGCTAATACAACTCATTCTAAACGCCTTCCTAAATTCAACCTATTCCGCAGTTAAAAATCTCTTTAAAAGTTAAAAAATTAATTCAGATTATTAATTTATTCAAATGAAATTTATGTGTTATTAGAAATATTTTTGATTATTAATATTATTTTATATTTTTTCCCATATTTATTATAATATTTTCCTTAGAAATATTTAAAATATCTTCCAAAAATACATACAAAACAAATAGCTTAAATCAATGAAACATCGTTTTCGAATCATCGAATTTGCATTGGTTCGATTATTCGAAATTCTCGCATAAACACATAATCTCCAATGACACGATAATGTTAAAATCATGCATGTTTCACCAAAATCGAACCACTTCGTCATCACTTGCATCTCTGATTAAACAATATCTTTGTCATGTAACTTTTTGCTGGGTATGTAATTATAATTATGACTGTAAACTATTTTTTTTATCATAATTTTATCCGAAAATCTTAATTTACATAGATAAACAATGTATTTGTTCCTTTTTTATTTATGTATTTTAAACATTTTAACAAGTCCATGTTATCAATTGCAACCATTTTCTTTTCTTTCTTTTTAGAAGAAATTTTTTGTTTTTAAATTTATATATTTCTTTGACAGTATACAGCTGTTTTCAACAAGTTAGTATGTGTTTAAAAACTCGTTGACAACAGCTTACCAGATGTTTGCCAAATGTGTGCTAACCTTATTATGAATTTCATACATAATTTTCTTAAAAACTTACCAGTCCAACCAGTTTACTGGAATCTACAGCCAGAGTACGGTTGCCTTTACCAGTTTGTACATGCCATGTATCATCATTATTTGAATTGCCAGATTGACTGTGACTACCGCCACCAACTCCACCTTGTTGACGTTTAAGGCTACCTGTGTCACCTCGTTGACTATGGCTTCCACCATAATTACTAGATCGACCGTCATTACGACCACCACCTTCGCGTTTGCGTGAATCACCACCACTGGGCATTGAGTTCATATAATGGTACGGATTGCTTAACTGTTCACTATTAGCCTCCTTTTCGATTTGTTCCATAGTCTTGGGAGCTTCATTGCGTGTTGATTGCCATTTCTTTTTGCGTAAATCAATAACATCCTGTAGCATAAATCTAACACGTGATGATATTTTTGAATTCTCATTTTTCGATGCAATGTTTTGCATTCTTTGTATTACGCTCTCTAATGAGTATTTGCGTTTATCTTCTTTGGGCATGTTTGTTTGTTCAAATTTCTGTCCAACAGTGGTCAAAAGTTTACATAAACATTCCAACATATCCTCGTTATTGGGGTCTTTGAGTAAGGCTTCAATACAGGTGTGTATGATTTTGCCGGTGAGTATGGATATCTTAAATAGTTCACCAATAAAACGCACTGTACCACCCGAACGTCTGCGTATCTTGCGCTCCTCTTCATCCAATAAAGCTTCCAATTCAACCTTTTCATTTGGATCTTTGCAGTTGTTAATCTTTTCTCTTATTGGTTTCAGTTTTTCTTCCTTTGCACTGCTCTTGGTTACATTCTGAGTGAACTCTCTTTCTGTTTTGTCCAAAAGTGCATTACGGAAGTAAGCGAGATTGGATTTTGTGCCACTTTCCATGCGTTCGTCACGGGCTTTTACTTCGTTGATTAAACGGTGACATAAACTAGCATATGATACTGAAAAATTTGGCTCATCGATAGCTTTTTCGAAAACCAAAATCATTACAGCTTCCATTTTCTCCATGGTATCTATTTTAAGTTTAATAATTTCTTCCACAAGAGGTTCAAACTTCTCGGGAGTTAGTTTATTCAATATACCACGGACACGGCGTATCAATTCGTCCTTTTCACGTTGCGCCTTCGTTTCTGGATCAAGTTGTTTTTCAGCACCTTGAACCAATACGCTGGGGCGCCAGGCGTTATCGGCTTCATTCAGTTTAACATCTTGATTAAGGGATAGATTTAAATGTATTATAGGTTTGCCACTATTCCGATTATGATGACCGTCTCCACCTCCGCGACCAGACATGGAACTTTGCTTCATATAATTATTTTGGTAGTTGCCATCACCACTACTGCTGCCCCTGGCTCCACCAAAGCCACCAACCATTGACTGAACCTTTTTGTTGCCTCGTGATGCAAATGCTGGCATTAAATTGGTTTGCGAAAATATTGAGGTGTTTTTCACTTCAGGTTGTATGCGAGAAGCCTTCGCTTCACGTAACTGCATCAATTGTTCACGATTGTACTGCTTCTTTCCACTAGGATTTGATGGCGACCACTGACCTTCATTGTAATTAATCAATGATTCAAATGATTGTTTATTGTTAGCGGCCGTTTCATCTGTGGCTTTGCTTTCGCTACTACCCTCTTCCTTATCATCGGTACCTCCTTTACTAATATTATCATTGGCAGGTTCCGCTTTTTCATTCTTAGGAGATTTTATTGACGTGTTATCGTTTGTAGGTGTCGAAACTTGTTCATTCTTTTGTTTACTTTCTAATTCATTTTTCGTTAAGATATTAGCTCTGTCTGTTTCATCGTTTGTTTCATCCTTCGAAGTCGTTGTGTTATTACTAACAGTATTGCCTGTATCCGCGGCTCTAGCTTCAACTTTAGCTGATACGGTTTTAAGGTTTTCAGTAACATTATCATTCTTTTTGACAATTTTGTCAGTATTTTTATTGGTTGCGGGATTAGTAGAAAACACGTTTGCTTTATTTACATTATTGCTGTTTTGGTTATTATTGTTGTTAACAATATCGCTATTATTAACTATGTTGTTGTTTATTGTTTCAGTCAATGTTGTCGCCGTTGTTATATTATTTCCATTTGTTGCATTTGAATATTGTGTTTCTTGCTGCTCTTGTTCTTGCTGCTCATTACTATTAACAATATTTATTTGTTTTTGTTGAGGTAATGTTAAAGTTTCTTTTTCTCCTAGTTGCATAGTTTTTACAGATTCCGTTATATTATAAATAGTAGATTTGTCTTGTTCACTAGCACCGAAATAATCCCCTGTACAACTTTCTTTCCTCTCGTCCTTTTGTTTACTAACAGTATTGATATCACTTGTAGTTTCTAAAGATGATGACGGCGTCTCGGGTGAAATATTTTCCTCCTGATGTTTATCTTTTAATTGTTCTTGGTGTGGCACTTGTTGGTTAATATAATTTGTTGGAAGCGATTCTTGAACACAATTGGAATTTGCAGTAGTAGAGGTTGGAGATACATCAGACACTTGCTTTATATTTTCTTCCGTTTTGCCTTAAAAAAGTAAAAACGAAATTTATTAAAAATCTGCTTTATTCACTTTTCATTATATAACAGATTATCCGCACATAAATTGTAATATAAAATAATTGGCTACATTACTTAAGGGGACAGTCATTTCAAAATTTGGACAATATTGAAGAATTTCTTTCAGTTCTAAATTCTGATACTTTATTTTTTATTTTATTCAATAATACAAAGCTTTCAAGGCCAAACTTATATATTACTTAGAAATAATACCTAAGCTTAAATAATAAATAATACAAAATAACATTCAATATTTATAACGGTTCCCCAACCATAATGTACAAAAGAAATGAAAAGGCAATAAAGGGAAATGAAATATGTTAATAACATTTCCAAAAATAGAAAAAAAATTTACCATGCCTAGAAATACCGCCCTTTTTGTTTTTTATATATTTCGTCGCCATTTTAAATTTGATCGTAACATATATCAGTATTTATGGCTTAAGTGTAGCTATATTTCACTCTTAGACAATTTTTTGATTCGACGTCATATTCTATATTCTGATATCTCGGATCCTTCCCCAAATTCTAAAATTGTGGCTATACTGGAATAAAGTACATTTTATTATATGAATTATTAGCTTTTAAAATGCTCACTTTGCAAAAACAGATATTTTACAGGTAATTAAAAATCTATCTATTGCTACTTTCAGTTGTAAAGTTTTTATGTATTTTTGGTAAGAAAGGGGTAATTTTTAAAATTTTTGTTATAAGTAAGAATGTACAGTCGGGTGTCGCCGACCATATGATACCCTACACCAGTTATGAATATTAAATGTGATTTATTGTTCATAATAAAGCATATCACCAAAAATAATTGCGCAAACTTTTTTATTTTTTCTGAAAATGGAGATCCCATACGTTATTGCGGTATATAACAATTTTTTAAATTCTTGCTACTTTTCTGTGCAATAATCTTATTTACTTTTTGGTAGAATAAGGGTAAAATTTTTAATTTTTTCATAAAAGTGAAATTTTCTAAAAAAAACTCCGAAAATAAATTCCCAAATTTGCGCAAACTTTTTTTCTTGTTTCTGAAAATAGACATTATATATTTTATTGCAGTATATAACAATCATTGATAATTTGCTACTTTCAGTTATAAATATCTCTTAAAACTGTAAAAATTAACAATTGATACAAGCTGTATATGAAATGTGAGCTAAAATTGAAAAAAAGTGAAAATTTCAAAAAACTCAAAATTTAAAAATTTCAAAAACTTTTCTTTTTATTCCGAATATAGAGAGTTCTACTAAAAACTACTTTCACCTTTAAAATCCTTATCTTTTTTTGGAAATCGTAAAAAAGTATAAAATTTTTATTATTTTCAAAATTTTAACGAATTATTCTAACATTTCTTTATAAGATATATATTAAAATAAAAAATCTAAAAATAAAAAATTCAATATAAAACATCTATTAGTTTAGCCACAAAAAATATCATATAAACCTGTTATAATGAAAAAAAACTCTAAAAACGCTTTCATGACTTTGACATCGTCTCAACTACAAATCTCAACTTGAAGTATTGAAAATTCACTATATTATACAGAATTTTGTTGTCTATCGAACTTTATACTCGTTATTTAAATTTCTCAAAATATTTGAGAAATGGTATCTGGTAATTTTCGGCGGGAACGTCAGCAACATACACCCTAATATATACCCTTCTCAAAAAGGTGAAGGGTATAATAATATGGCCATAACAAACATAGTGTACAAAAAAGTATATAACTTTTCCTGAGCGATATAAAAGTTTCCGCTGCAAATGCTATAAAGTTTACGTCATTTAATCTAAACTAAACTTTATACATATTTATTAATTTAAAATCGGTAATTATTAAAAAAATACGTGTTATTTTTTACCCAAGATCTACATTGAGTAACGCAAATTGCGTTACTGTTCCGAATTTCGAATACAAACATACCGATTTTACTATTTAAAACAATTATAAATTCATAATTAATTTTTTTTCATACAATTTTAGGAAAAATCGAATTATTTGGAACAGCAAAAAATATAAAAAAGTGTTTTTAGAAATCGATGCGATGCGGAAAATTTTCCCCAATTACAAATTATCCCAAATTCATAGTACATACATACATGCCAAATTTTATCAGGTTATTTTGAAAACTCTTAATTGTTTGTAGACCTCAATATTACCGTATTCATAGCCGATTGGATACATGTTAACAACTGTTGGAGTATTAACATTCACTTTACTTTGTAAACATTAATAATTTTCTTTCTTGTGTAAATGTTAAATTGAATACCGTTGTAAATTTTGTAACTACATTATAAATATTGTAATAAATAGTCATTCCAATAAATTGAATTGAACAGAAAAGATTTTTCGTGCCATTTTTTAATTAACTTTAAGAGGTTATGGGCCTTTGCTAAATATTGGATTTAAAATAAATTAAAGAACAATTAAAAAGTAATAAAATTATAAGGGTATTGAACAAATTTTATTGCTACATTTGGAATAAGGAAAATAAGGCAGACTTAGTGTTTAAATTTGCAAAACTTAATAATGAAAACTATGCCAACTGGAAATTTAAAATGGAGCTTCTGTTACGCAAACATAATTTATGGAAGCATGTCATTGAAGGTAAACGTCCCTCACCAATCTATGTGGCTGGAGTAATAACCAATCAGTCCATTATAAATGAATGGGATAATAAGAACGATGAAGCTAGAGGTACTATCGGTTTGCTTGTGATGGATGATCAATTATGCCATATTCGTAACATGAAGACTGCAGCAGACACATGGAATACTTTAATGGAATATCACGAAAAGAACACCTTAAGTATCAAAGTTTATCTGAAGAGATCGATATGTAGTTTTAAACTTGAAGGTGGTGACACAGTTGCACATATGAACACGCCTTGTCTGACAAGTGGAGTGCTGCTGTGCTGTTAAGTAGTTTACCATAAAGTTATGATACTCTGACAACTTCACTGGAGTCTCGTAAAGAGGATGAAATAACGTTTGATTTGTTTCAACAAAGGGTGATTGCAGAATATGAACGACTTTTAAGCGCTTTGGCGGCACATAAAATTGTTTGACTCAAACGGCAAATTTTTAGTTTTGTTAGTAAAAAAACCCACACCGCATATATCATGTGAGTTTTTTTCACACAATCAACACAATCAAAAAACTTACCGTTTGTGTCAAACAAAATTGATGTGAGGCCGTGTCGCTTTACATGATGACAATAACGCTGTTTTAAAAGTGGTTGCTAATACTATTGCCAGATTTGACTATTTATCGTAATTTTGACGATTTTCAGTGTTAAAAATGCTCTGTTGACGATTTGACGATTTGACGATTTAACGCTAAATTTAACGATTTTTTACAACAGAATTTTTGTACTAATTTTCATATATTTATTCATAATTTGAAAGAAAATAGATGTGTTTACAAAATTCAATGAAACTGTTAATAAAATTATAAAGTTTTATAATAGAGGTTGAATGTCCATTGATCAAATATTTGACGTAAAGGCAAACGCAAAGTTTTTTGAGAATTTATCTTTTTTGGATCTAGAAAAATAGGTTGTGGGAAAGAGTATAGAAGGAGTAGTGTTTTTGGACATTTAAATCATTGATTAAACATTTCTGTAAAATATTAAACATATAGGAATAATAGCAACATGTACATATAAGTATATCCTGCAGGAAATGAAGCGATACTTGTCGAATTCCCACTAGTAATAATACTAAAACAGCAGACACTAATACAAACGGGGTTAGAGTTTATATGAAAAAATACTAGCACTGGAAGTAGTTGAAGGACAGCACTTGCAGACAGATTTTTATTCGACATGTGAAAAAATAAATTTTTAAAAATTATTAAAATGTAATGTTCAAATATTTTGCATAAAAAGACGATATTTTCAAACATGTCCTTTCAAATCAGAAGATAAATAATGAATGACAATTTAGGTCCAGTTACATTCAGATCCCTATGTAAATTTAAAAATTGCAATAAGATTAATATTTGTTTTATCATATATAATCCATGTAAAAATCCTGGTGATCAGAAGAAAAATAGCGGCAAGTATAAAAATTGGAAACCTACAATCTTCTAATATAATAATTTAAAAATATCAATTCTGTTAAGGAAAAATGTAGATTTTCTTTTCACATTTGTTAAAAATTAAAAGTGTTGTTGGCTGGTGGACTCAGGTGCGACTCGACATGATTATAAATTTTTCACGACGATTAATAACTGCTAAAAAATTTCTATTAAATTGGCAAATGGTGAAACAGCTGAGATAGAAAGTATTGGATCTGGTGAATTTGTGTTATGCGATGAGAATGGCAATCAAAATAAAATTCTCGTTAAAGAGTTTTTGTATGCACCCAGTCTAGTGGATATATACTGTCGGTTAGACAATTAACAAAAGTTGGTTTCGACATATCATTCAAAAATATTGGAGTGGCAGATCTGAAAGGGGAAATGTATATTTTACGTCAATTTGAGAATATTAATACCATAATGCAACATAATGAAAACTGTATTCATCAGTGGCATCGTAAATTAGGTCATCGACATTACGTTTATTATCAAGAAAATCTGAAGTAGAAGAAGCATTAAAAGGTAGGTTGATGTCGCTTTGTTTCAGAAATTGCAAACGCAATTTGAAAAAATAATAGCATAATTTACAAAAACAATCTACACCCTAAATAATTTTCTAAAATGCATAACAATGAAATGAAAGATCATTCATATTTAATACTTTTTTGTACATTTTAAATTGAAATGCATTTTCATTGAAAAAAATATCAATAGTGTTTGTGTAGTGGTGATTTTTTTAATCTGCCTCTCTATACGCCGGTATATGTCCTAAGGTAATTAGATCCGGTAGAGGTGTTGAGTACACAGCAAAGAATTTTATACAGTTTTTGAAGTCTCAAGGAATTAAGAATCAATTAACAGCCCCTTACAGTCCAAAACAAAGTGGAAAGGCAGAATGAAAGAACAGGACTTTAATTAAAATGGCTAGATGTATTCTTATTGACGCCAATTTACCGTATACTTGTTGGGGAGAAGCTGTGTCAACAGCAAATTATATTCCAAAAAGTGTTTTTTCAAAACCAAAAAATTAACACGAATTGGGGTATGGCTCAAAAAAGCAAGTTACTCTAGATTTTCGTACTCGTACTTTTGATCCATTATTGATTGAGGAGAAGAATTCTACATCAATTAATATAAATGATGTAACAATCAATAATGATGCTGTGGCTGCCGATGAAATATTAATACTAGCGAGCAGAATTCTGAAGCACATTTGGAGACACAAACACCTACCGTAAGAGTTTCTAGCAGAGAGAATAATGGTAAAGAGCCTAGAAAATTAATAAATGAAATCGGTTAACAAGAGAGTCTAAAGAACACAAATCTTATCAATAGTTATGAAAAGCAGCAGTGGTTAGCTGCAATGCAGGATGAGATGGAATCGATGAAGAATAATCAAACATGGGAGCTTGTTAATTTTCCTGAGAAAGCTTCGCCTATTGGAAGCAAATGGGTTCATAAAATTAATCGAAATGTTGGCGTTGATATATGTCGTTTCAAAGCTCGCCTTGTTGCGCAAGGTTTCTCACAAAAATATGGTATCAATTACGATGAGGTTTTCGCCTCAGTGGTATCTCATATTACGTTCGGAATTTTGTTGTCAATTCCAGGAACAATTATGTAACATATGTAGCACATCTAATATTAGTCTGTTCAACTAAGGATCAGATAACATTTATTGAAAACAAACTATCAAGCAGTATCGCTATACAGAGACATTATTTAGGTATTGAAATATCAAAAGATAAAGTTGGTAATTTTCAGCATTGCCATTCTATTATATTAATAAAACTGCCAAAGAATTTGGACTAGAAGAATCAAAACCAACTAAAACACCAATGGATCTAAGTTACGGAAAAGGAGGAGAAACAAAACTTCTTGAAATATATACGTACAAACATTTTCAACGATAATCAAAGCTGCCTACGCCTTTTAAATCAAGACACATTTTTTTAAGACAAAACACATAGACACAAAATATAAAATGATAACAGATTTGGTAAAGAAAGGTATAATAACTTTAAGCTACAAAGCCGTTGCCGCCAATCAAACTTATTTATTTTCGTAATGAATACAACTTAAAGTGAATAAGGAGGAGTGTTGGAGTATTAACATTCACTTTACTTTCTTAACATTGATAATTTTCTTTCTTGTGTAAATCATGTAAACATTACACTATATATTTTATGTACACCTTGTTGTTAAATTGAATACCGTTGGAAATTTTTTAACTACATTATAACTACATTATTATTTCAATAAATTTAATTGAACAGAAAAGTTCTTTCGCGCCATTTTTTTAATTAACTGTAACAACAACATCATTACAAATGCATATCACCCGCTCTAACACTTATAGTATTGCATACGTTTCTAAACCAATGTGTAAAGACTTAATTTGAACATTAAAAATTAATGTTTTTAGCACTTCAGTTAAAAATTTCTCACAAAATGCAAAAGAGTTGAGTCTCGTTCTTAAGTAAACTTACAGTCGCTTTAAGCCAAAATCAGACACTTTAGTAAAATAAATTTAATGACAAATCTTGAGAAAGTAGATTAATAATAATAACAATTGTTGTTCGATTTTCATCAGTATATTTATTAAGATTAATAGTTTGTTGTCCATTTTTTTAAATTTTTATATTTATACTAAATTCTTGTTTTACAAAAACCAGCAATATCCCAATTTCGCCATGGAGCATATTCCCTAGCCATTTCAAGGAATAGAATCCCTATCAGAATCCTTAGATTGCGTTTGTCCAGTCTTATTAGTATTTTTGTAGCCCCCATATGAAGTTTTGGCCATAGGGCCTTTGATACTTTGCAATCCAATCTACTATTCCAGGACCGGTTTATGATGAGCTGTTAGTTATGTATATAATAAAATTTATTTATTTATCTATTACAATTTAAAATTATATTATATTTACGGAGCAGGGTGACGATGTCCGTTGCAATGAAGCAGACCAGGATCTCTGGTGGAAATCAAACCAACTTCCAGACTTATACGCTAGTATACTACCAACTAACCTTTGATCAAATTTTTTAGCCGGCTATAGCCGCGGGTGAATTTGTTCGGCATAGGTTAGTAATAAATAAAATTTTGCCAAGATGAAAAAACAAGTTCTGTACATACTATAAATGTTCATAACGCCTAACAAAGGTGGCACGATTGGAAAAAATTCACATTATGCATACATTTCTAACACGTTTTATGCTGCATTTTAAGTATATTTAATTTTGAAATTTCGTGTGTCTTTTTTAATATATATGATGTACGTATGTACATATGTATGTATATACATTGGCGAAATTAAATCACTGCATTTTTAAAGAAAATGTTTTCAAGTTACCACCTACATATGTAAATATGTATGTATTATGTATGTTCTCCTTAGGATTAAACGTAATCCCCAACAAACACTAATAAAATTGAAATTTTGTAAGATAATGTATGGGTGGTGTGTCGGTAATTTACATTATTAGCAGCGCCACATAGTTGCCGGCTTTTTACATACTCATGTTTATTTTTTATACCAAGATATTTTTCAACAATTATCATATAAAGCAAAAAAATAAAGCATGTGCGTACATTACTCACGAAATATTATTTATAAAAAATATTTGTCTGAAGTTGACAACAATTTGTATAGGTTTCTCTTCACACTTGAGAGGCATATTTAATTTCCCTGCATGTTACACATATGACAACATTTTAACATAACCTCAATATTCAAGTTGGTCATGATTTAAAAAGATCAAAAAAAAGAATGACAGCAACAACAACAATGTGCGTGGTTTTGTCTTATAATTTTAGCGGATAGTAGTTTTAAACAAAAATGCAATTTTTCATTCATACCATTTAAGTATTTTTTAACATTTATGGCAATTTATTTTTATATATATGTGTATATATGTATATGTTTAACTTAAATAATTCAACTTTTGTATTACGTTCACTATACACGGGTTATGTTATTAAAATATAATTTTATTTAGTTGCAACTTTATCACAGATAGTTATTTTTTGGGTTTTTAGTTTAAGAAAAAAATTTATTGGTTTTAATTGAATATGTATCAAAACGATTGAGTAAATACTTAAATTATTATTGTAATTTATTTGAAATTAATTTATAAAATATTATTTTTTATAATAATTATTATATAGACACAACTTTTTTAATGTATTAACACATAAAAAATGATAACGCGTAATGGATCTGAACTTTGCACACGTTTTTGTTCTTTTTTTATTTCTTCTTTTATTTCAAAGACAACCTTATAAACAACAGATGAATGTACAAAAGATGAATGTGTGGTCAGGTCAGTGCTGCCACATAATGTAGAAAATACAAAGATACAAAAAACGCCAAAAAAATTTTTTCATTTCATATGGTATCACAACATGCACACATGTTGCCAGAAAAAAGGTGTGAATTTCTTACTTGTAATAGTCTATGCATTAATATTACAATGTTATTTCTAATTTATATGAATTATCAAATTATTGAACATATTTTATTTATGAAAAAAAAAACTTTTAATTAATTTAATTCATAAATAATGTAATTCGTTTAAAAAATAATTTATTTAACAGATTAAAATTATACACGAGGTTTTGAAGTCACATACATACTACAAACGAATGAAACACAATTTATATAATATTATATGGGTACTAAAGACAACGGTAGTCACACTACATAGTTTAAATTTTTATTTCAAATATTAAAGAAACTCCTTCTACATAGAACATTTATTGAAAATTTTAGACTTTCTGTTTGGCCCTATAGTACTTTCAACTGACAGGTGGATGGACATATAGTGTCAATTTCTTTATTCCAATAACCTAGACTATATAGGCCATAATCGGTTATAAATTTCTACTTATGAATATATTACATAAAAATTAATGTAAAATGAAGTAACTTCATACAATTTTTACAGTAATTTTTGATCATTAGTTTTTGAAGTGCACTTTCCTGCAAATTAAAATTCAAAATGGCACCTCAAAAGTATTTTTTTGCTATTGAAAGAAAAAATATTATGGATGATTTTAATAAATGATAATAAGTGACACAGACGGGAGGACCAGTGTCGAAGTCGGATATTAAAAATTGCATTAACGAGGTCCATGGCAATTTAATTGCTATTAAATATTACGTCCAGAACTATCCAAAGACGAAGAGACTGAAAATAACGGGTCCACTTTTTTTATAAGGTTAATTGCTGTGATCACCATTATAATTGTCTTTTTGCAGATTATCACTGAGAGAAAACTTTTTGTTAAATTTTTTTTTTAAAGTGGTTGAGAGAAACCGAAAAGAAAAACAAAATAACTCGCTACAATTGATTTTTATTTTGTAAACATTTTTGAAAAAGTCTGCTTATGATTTTTATTTTTAAAAGCAAAACAATATATCGCAAATGTAAATACACTATTAGGACACACATACTTTCTTTAGAAATCAACAACAATATACTCTCCTACTCTCATAAGCAAGAGAAAAAAGGAATACAAAAACCAAGTGCTCAGCCAAAAACATAAGTAACAAAACAAAAGTAGTAAAGGTTATACTAAACCATTTAAGAAAAAATCATTTTATAACTTTTATTCTGAGTGAATTATTTTAAGAAACAAAAATAAATCACAATTCAATCACTTAGAATTGACTGACAGACTTACAATTTAAATGTTTTCTAAAAATAATGCTAATTTCATAAAAAAGGTACAATGGAAGCATAGCTTTTTCGTTCTTTGTATGGGAAAATGCTTAAATTTCTTCGAAAGACAGTACTTATGCAAGCAAATCCACAGTGTTGTCAAAAGCCAATCTAGCTGGAAAAAGTAATGACTTCATTTTGGAAGCAGCTAGATGCATGAAATATTAGGATTTAGTATATCTTGATAAAAGCATCCTTTGTATCAAAAATGGTCGTTATGAGTGAAGTGGGCGTGGCACTTCCCATAGAAACTCATATATTTTTTTCTTTTAATTACGTAATTTTTACGGATTTATACATTTAGAATACCTGACAATTTTCAATAACTTTGATAAGAATTTATTCAAATTTGCCCTTTTTAAGTACTCAGGAGACCTCTTCCACCCCCAAAACGTGTCGTTCGGTATTCCTCTATATGTAAAAGGACGTCATGTGTTTTTCATATAAATTTTTTTGCTTTCCTTTTCTACATTCCGCACATTTTACAAAGCTCTCCCCGAGTTATGGATATAAAATCTATATTCGCATCTAAAAAACGTATTTGCATGTACTAGCAGAAAATCTTTTTTCCTTCTAAAGTGGACATTTTATAGATAATTATACAATAAAACATTATACGGGAATCTTATTTGACTATCCAAAATATTTATAACACAAATAGCATATTTTCGACCACAATTTTTTTACACTAAATATATTATGATTAAACACATTTTTGCATTAAAGCTTGCATTATTCAGTAAAAAAGTAATAATCTTTTATTTGCTACTACGATCAGTTCAAAAATGACGCTAAGAAAAGACAGCATTTTATAAAAACTGCTATAATGGAATTGCTCATATTTGAATCTGCATTGCAAAGCCAATAACAAACAAATTAAAAAAATCTGATATACTTAATAAATTGTTTAAATTTTGAAACGTCAAAAATTTTATTTTTTCCAGCTAGATTGGCTTTTGGCAACACTGTGCAATCGAATGGAGAAATTATGTTTTTTTTTTTGCAGATTTATACGGATTTTGCTAAAAATAAGTTCAAATATAAAAAATTTTAAATAATGTATAAATAGAATACCCAGGTACCGTAAAATATCGTTTCTAATTTAAATTAAAAATCAATATTTACGGGGAATGTGACAAACATCATTTAACAATAAAAGATATTGGAAAATGTGTGTGATATCATACGTTTGGGAATTTTCGTTAACCAGGACGACTAAAATAGTTTACTAACGCTGAAAACGACAAAAATTGTGAGGATCGAAGTCCAAATCCCTGACAATTGCTCTTGAGTTATCGAAAAATATAACAGTTACACCAGGGAACTTAGTTAATATGAGTTCAATTCAAAGATCACCTTAATAAACACACTACATACCAGATTGCCTCTAAAGAAACCTCACTTTCATATCAAAAATGAACCAACGAAACTGGATAAAATTTACAAAAATGGGTCAGAACTCTGATCATTACTTCTGAAGATATATTTTATTAATACCCAAGGCAATATAAACAAATTTGAACCATTTAATGTTTAATCATTAATTATACTGCAACACAAGTTTTTATGTAAATAAAATAGCTGTACACCATCTTTTGACGCTCGCTGTAGGATCAAAACTTGGGTTCAACCCTTTGGTCCATACTAAGGAATGGTAAATCGACCTCTATTGTTATCGATTACGCTGTGTGACACTCAAAAACACTCATTATGCGATATAATCAGGCCTGCCAGATTTGCCGATATTTACCCTAAAAATTGTAAAGTGCCGATTTCCCAATTTAAAAATATTGTAAATCCTTTATATTTATTGATTTTTTTGCAATTCTAACAAATTGATTGTCAAAACTTAACTTCACAAAAGCAAAAATGACATGGAGCTTTTAAAATAATTGGGAAAAGAAAATCTACATTACTGTAAAACACAATTTGCTACATCAGCAATGTCAATTGGATCGAGATATACTTATGTATATTATAAAAACGAAACATAATTTATGTATGAAAATCTTTAATAGATTTCCAAAAGTCTAATCTAAGGATGGTAAAATTTTTAAGATCTTTTAAGGTTCAAAAATAAATTTGCACATTTTGTGGAGAAGCTACCCAGTAAAATAATTTCAAATTTTGGTAATGAGTATTGTAGGTAATGTAGGTCTTTCACACATTACTTGGTAATGAGTGGTCTTTATTAATAAAATTATTTCATTTTTTTTTGGATAAGATTTGTAGCCAGATGTATAGAGCGTATATCTAATAAGGAATTAGTTAATGGTTTTAAACCTAGTGGATATTAGAAGATTTTTGAAGAAATATTGATTTGTATCTTTGTGTAAAAACTGTTCCAAATAGCACTACAAAACAACTTGTTAATGGAGCATCGGGTAATAGAATAGACTAATAAATACAGAAAATAACTGTAAAGCCGGTTTTAAATCCGGAAAAGTCGGGTAAGCACATTTGTAACCAGTTATTTTTTGTTCATCGTCAAACAAAAATAAGTAGTTATTCACCAAAAAAAAAGTACTTACTCTTTACTCCAATATTACTCTTTACTCCAAAATTGCCTACTTACCGGGTAAGTAAAGATTTTACTGGGTAATTTTGAACAAAAATCTGGGGATAATTTCCCATTGTTTAAATTTACCCAACAAAATCTTTACTTACCCGGTTTTTGTTCGACGAAAAAAAAAAAATAATAATAATTGATTCCAAATGTACATTCCCAACATTCCCGGATTTATTAGTCTATTCTCTTACTCAATGCTTCATTAACAAGTTATTTTATCATGCTATTTGGAATGGCTTTAAAAAAAACTGTAAAAAAACAATATTTTTACAAAAAACTTCTAATATCGATTAGGATTAGAATCACTAACTAATTCCTTATTAGACATATGTCTAGATAATTAGTTACAAATCCTATTGAAAAAAAAATGATTAATGTTTTAGATAACGACCACTTATTGCCAAGTAATGTATGAAATAATTACTTTTAATTATTTAACTCATTACCAAAATTAGAAAATATTTTACAGGATAGTATTCAACAAATAATTATGTTATGTTTCGTATGTTTGGATGTCTGTTGGTTT